GTGTGTGTGATTAAAGTAGCTCTCCTTCCAGCAGCTAAAGCAGCAAATCCAATAACTGGCCTCTATCTACTGGCACACTCATTAATTAGGGCTTAATACAGCTTAATGCTCAGACACTGCCCCACACTAATCCACGCACGCACGCACGCACACACACACACACACACGCAACCACGGCAGAGCATGAAGGTGAGGTGGTTTCGAACAAGTGTGTGTGTTAAGGCCAGAGGTTGGCAGCTCGTTGCTCTGACAAACTGAGTGTGTTTTGTTCACATGTGTACAGGTCACAGCTTTTACTCACAAACCTCCAGCTTACAACCGGCAGCAGATTTAAACATCCTGGGCCCCGACCCTGACGTGTGTTTGTACAACTGCCGCCTCATTAGGAACAATAATGCCACAGCTCCTTTTTACAAATGACTCATAACATTTTACACAAGCTGTATTTCTGGTCGCGATCCGACCTTTTTAAAGTTAGAAGCGTTGCGTATGAAATCAGAGAACACGGCGTGACTTGTCGACGGCGGCAGACTCCGTTTTTTGTTTGTCTTGGCAGGAAGTCGCCTGTGAGCGAGTCGCAGTTCACGTCTGAAGAACAAAACTTCACAGACTGAGAATAAATCTCGTTCGCAGTATCACATTTATCTCTACTGGAAGACGACGTGTAAAACTCGTCTTCGCTGCAAGTTCCCCGAGAGAGGCTTTAGTCTTCCCTCTTTGATCGTCTCGGAGCGTTTGGTATCGGCGTCAGACGCTGGAACGGGATAAGGATTGACATTTTCTCTGCGTGACTCAGATTAGTTTGGTGGAGCTGAAGGCCTCCGGTCGGTACATTCTCAACACTTTGCTCATCAAAGGTTTGCAGCTCCAGAACAACAGGCTCCGTTCATGACCTTTAGGCACTCGTGCGTGTGTGCGTGTGTGTGTGTGTGTGTGATCTCGGTGCTTCCTGCACTGTGTGAGCAGAGCACCAGGCGTGCATCCTTGTCCAGAGTGAATCTTCTTCTCTGGTTGTGTGACTTTGTGTTGCGTTGCTGTGATGGTGTGGGAGGAAGGAGTGAGGGGGTGGCTGCTCAGGACAGCTTGGAGGCTGCCTGCAGGAGCGCCAGGCGGGGAGGGGAGTCATCGCTCTCGGCCTCTAGGACTGGACAGAGCCTCCAGGTCTGAGATAAAGCGCTCAGCGGGCCCTCAGGCGGGACGGGGGGAGATGAGGGAGGCCTGCAGGAGGGCAGGTTTTAGTTGACTGATGGTGAAGATGATGGGGGTGGTGGAGGAGGATTAAACTCAGAGATGGAAAATGAGACCATACATGGCAGAGTGAGGGCGGGGGGTGGGGGGGCAGATTCAGTAGCAGAGTTGGGATGTTCGATTCCTCCGTCTGTCACACACAGGCAGGCCTGCCACTGCCAACATGACCAGCAGGGCAGGGGCATCTGTCTCCCCCCCAGCTACCCCTATCTGTCTCTCTTCCCTGAGCCACAACCCTCCTCCTTTCTCCTCCTCCTCTGTACCCCACTTTCTCCTCCTCCACTGTCCCCCCCACCCCCGCCCCATCATCCCCTTTTGAACCTGTTGAAACAGTGACATCATGAAAGACGCCTCCTTCTGAATAGACCAATCGGAGGTTTTCCAAAAGCGCTCTGGGTTTTGAACCGTCAACCCAAGCAGCTCCTACTTCACACTCCTCATCAGGAGCAGCTTCTGATTGGTCCGCGGCTCATCGACAGAACAATATTCCTAAATATTAGATTAGACGGAGAAATAGTAGCGACGTTTGTCGACTTTCGTTTGTTTTATTCACGTTCTGCTCGTGGTGCGACAAACGCCACGTCTGTTACAGTAAAGTTCATCTTTGAGCTCGTCAAATCAACAGCTTGGAAATTTGGAGGAAATTTAACTGTCGTGCAAATTGAGTAGATTTAAAATTACAAATACATATATATATAATAATCTTATAATTATATATATATATATATATATATATATATATATAAGTAACATCGAACTTTTAAAGTAGAAACAGCAGCGCGGTTTCATTTTTATCGTAAACGCCACATCACTCTGTGTGGGAATCGGACAAGTAGTTCAATATGCAAATGTGGACTTATGTGCCGAGGGTTTCCCCCGTCGTTGTCAGGAAGTGTGTCAGTGAGAGTTCACCACTGCTTTTTTTTGGGGGGGGGGGAGCTTAGTGATTGGCTGAGCAGATGGATGGATGAGTGAAACGGTGAGCAGGAAACGTTTTAACAAACTCCACCTTGCATCTCTGTACACTTTAATCCCAGTGTGCAATGAAAGGGTGTATCGTCTGGTTTTCGGGGGGGGGGGGGGGGGGGGGACGCACTAATTGTGATATTGATCAGAGCTGCAGTCACACATTCCAAACTATCCTGCCGTATTAGTCCAATATTTGTTCAATTTAACTTCTAAGACAAAAACATCAAAATATTATGCGACACGATGCAGTAAACCGTTAAGACAAATATCGTTTCCCTCAGTTGAACAACAATTTGATTTGATGTCATGTTCCAGTTTACTGAAACTATTAGTCCCACATTTGATCTTGTTGTAACGAGTTGTTCTTCTGACTGAGATTTTCGTGAACCCGTACAGTAATGAAAGGCTGGGGAGGAATGCTTATCGCCCGTTGAGTTTCAGACTAGGATCAATCTCGTTATGGTCAAAAACTGTATGCGTGATTGAACGCAGTCTTGTGAAACGTCTTGTTGCTGTAGATGTACATCTATTTAGTATTTTGAGATTCATTAAAATCCATCCAGTGGTTCATAAGGTATTTTGCTAACAGATGGACACACAGGCAGAAAGATTATCACCCAGTCTCCACCTTTCAATGGCACCTGGACAGAAATGTTATTTTAAAAACCAGGTGATTATTTTGAACTATTCTTTTACTCTTCGGTGTTTCAACACTCAAAAGTACCTGAAGTTATGAACAGATAAAACCTTTAAAGGTGGCTATCTTTCAGTTTTCCTTCATGTTTGTATACCAGTTTTGAGTTTGTCGAGTGAGTTCTGTTTCAAGCTCTTCAGATTTCACCCGCTAACGTTGGGTTAGTTTAAACACTAATCTGGTTGTTCAACCTTTTTGTCTCCTCAGTGTTGTTGCAGGTGTTGTGACGTTTGCCTGGCTGTATTTTTTCCCACGTGTTTTTTCTCTTTTACTACATCGGCTGAAAAGATGTTCTTTAAAAATGTTCTGCCACTTTCTGATGCTGTAGTTTGTGATGGTGATACAGCAAAGATATTTGATTTTTAGAGTGAAACTGTTGTTTTAACTAGTTTTAACTTAGAAATGGTTATTGTCTGGAACGTCATTTTTTTATGTCTGTTGCTCCTGCTTCATGGCGTCAGTCGCCGCAGCTGCTTGGAAGGAGCTCATCGCTTCTGATTTTTGATGTTTTCAAATAAAAATGGACATCATCTAACCTTTTGTAACAAGGATTGTGAAGAAATATCGAAATACATTTTGTAAATGTTATCTCAGATATTGGTAAAGTACAAAAAAAAAGCTTCCAGTGATGCAACTTTCTAGATTTCACTCTGAAGATGTAGTGAAAACTTTGTCTTTTTGTTTTACAGTAGTCCCTCGCTACTTCGCGGTTCGTTTTTCATGGACTTGCTCTATCGCGGCTTTTCAAAGTAAGATTGGACATGACACACAATTGGCCGAATGATGGATGAGCCACATGATCGGCATAGATTTTTTTATTTAAAATAAATTATTTTAAATTATTTAGCACCTGTGTACAGCCCACAGCTGTGGGAGAGGCTTTCCTCCTGCAGCTGATCAGCTGATCTTCTCTGTACAGAGATCAGTGGATCTCCATGCAGAGCAGAAAAGTGGGTGTGGCCAAGAGTACAGCCGGAGACAGAGAGTTGAATTCATGACATTCTGTGCTCTTTTAGAGCGTTTAGTTCAGAAACATTGTTTAGAATATTGCAAGAGTGTGGGAAGGGTTTAAAACACAGTAATACTGTAGTCCTTCGCAACTTCGCGGTTCGTTTTTCACGGACTTGCTCTATCACGGTTTTTCAAAATAAGATTGGACATGACACACAATTGGCTGATTGATGGATGAGCCACATGATCGGCATGACATTTTTATTTCAAATGAATTATTTTAAATAATTTAGCACCTCTGTACAGCCCACACTGCAGGAGAAACTTCCTCCTGCAGCTGATCAGCTGTTCTCCATGCAGATATATATATATAGTTTTTCACTTATCACGGGGCTTCAGGGTACGGACCCCCAAAATAAACGAGGGACTACTGTACACCTAGAGGACAAAACAATGAAACGGACAATTAACAGTCAACTGCCTTTTAGCCGTACTGTTTGATGTTTTTAGTTAAATTTGTCACAGTAAATTAAATATAAATATTAACATATACCGGTAGCCTAAAATCCCAGCTTTTGAGCTACTTCATCACATCTTCTCTGCACTCCGTCTGACACAGTCATCAAGTAAACAGCTGATTGTTTGATCGACAACATCCAGTGATGTTAGGAGCTCTTTGTGGACCCAGCTCCGTTTCAATATTTACAACATTTGGTTTTATATTAGCCAGGAGGGCTTCTCTCACACTTTCAGTCGGTGTGTGTGTGTGGCAGGCTGCAGCAGTTGGACCGACACTGTCAGAGCAGCGCTCAGCAGGTGTGTGAGCTTCTGGCCAAACAGAACCAGCTGATGCAGGAAAGGAACACACTCAGCGAGGAGATGCAAAACCTGCGCGTCGATGGACAAACACACACAAACCTGAGGAGTGTGTGACACGATACAGAGTCCTCAGGTCAAAGCGGTCTGACTCTTCTAAAGACTTGATCGGAAATGATTCTGCTTGTGTGTGTGTGAAACCTCCACATTGTCTGAGAATTGTGTTTTAACTAAACCGGAGATGAACTGATATTCTGAGTGTGTTTGTCTTCCTACTTTCTACTTTTTGGATTTGGAGATTTTCATCTGTGACATTTTCTTCAACAAAAAGATGAAAGCATTTTTGCATCTTTTTTTTTCTGTTAAACTACATTTTGAATTGTACTTGTTAAATGCTGTAATGTGTTAGAGGTACTGTACTGCATCATGGTGCTCAGTGTATTTTTTAAATCATCATTCTACATTATTAAAGCAAGTCACTGAAAAACTTTAAAAAAATTCTTGATTTCTTCATTTCTGTATTTTAATACTGATCTTCTCGTTTAGTTTGGAAGAGTCTGATCGGTTCATCAGCAGGGTCAGAGGTCAGGTGATATTGTGTGTCTCTAAACAACACGTGAGGACATCTTGGACACTTAATGAAATTACATTACTCTGAAATATACAGAACAGCCCCGTAGCCACCATAAATGTTGACAGCCGTCTAAAAACAGTCAGTAAAGAGAACAGAGTGGACACAGCAGCAGATTGACAGAGTGCTTTATTGAAGCTGTCCGTTAGACGGAAAATAATGTGCATCCTTATCATATACATTTCATGTGTAAAAATACTAAGGATGTACAGTGTAAAAACCAGCTCCATGTTGATGGTACTCTGTTATTTTCACATCCTTGTGGCCTCACAGGCCTGCAGCACTGCATCCTGACAGCATGACGGACAGAAAAAGGCTGTTTGATCTGCTTTTCAGTGGATCTGTTTGGATCGGTTGAGTTTTTCCTAAATGCCGTCTCCGAGTTTACGTCGTCTGACTTCCACTGACGGATCAGAGAGCAGAGCTGCGGCACTTCAGAGGAAACTCTGGAAACAGCTGGAATCTGCCCAGAGACATCCCTCACTACTGTAAAGCTACAGTAAAGTGGAGCGTTGAAATATTTATACATGTTTGCTGTTTCTGTTGATAAATGAATGCATTTCATGCTTTTTGTTACTGTAATAAGATGAGTAGTACTGTAGAGGGGGAGGGAATCTGCTGAAGTTAACCAGAAATCCTTTCCAACATGAGGCTGCAGCTTTTTTTTAATTTTGTGTTTTACAGCAGCAGAGCGGTTTGTGGTTTTTGACTGATGTTACTGGTTCGTGAAGGAGATTAACGCCGAGCAGCTGAAGTCTCTGACAGAAACGCAGCTGGAGTCGGGTGTGTTTGGTTGATGTACAGTACAAACAGCAGCAGCTTTGAGAGGGAACGCTGTCAGCGCAGCGTCACATACGTCACACACGGTCCGATACAATGAGCTGAAAACAAAAACTGACACGTGTAAGTCACTGTTGAACCAAAGCAAGACATCATCCCGTTTTCAGTTTCTTTATCATCCTTGACCCAGAATCAGCCTGTAACCTAAAACGGAGCTGGAGGCTCACGGGAGGGAAAACGTTTTCTTTTTAATCCGGAGGAGATTAGTGCAATGATTGATCAGTTACAGTATCGTCTTAGTTCACAAACCTCGCGGTTTCACAGTAGTGACAGCGCTGACTTGTCACTGCACATCGAGACACTCGGTCCACGTCTCGTCAAATCTACACATCAGAGCAGCATCAAAGCTATGTGGAGGGCATTCATCAGTTAAAAATCTTCATTTTCTTTAAAAACATAAAAAAAAGCTAAAAAATCTTGCTTAAAGGCAGGGCTGAATTGGATTCCTCTGAATCATATCAAAAGTGATGGATGTGTGAAAGTGCTGTGTTCAAAGCTACAAAGCAGTATCTTATGAGCTCTGGTTTCTAATGATTTTGGCGTTACTCGTGCTCGTACAGCTAGAACTCCTCAGCCGCCCGCAGACCTGGGTCAAACCAAAGCTGAAATCCTTCCAAATACTTGGGCGTGCTTTCTTGAGCCTGTCAAGGGTGCCAGCTGGGTGGGATTTGGCCTCGTTTTGAACTTTTTCAGCTGCCTCAGCCGGAGCCAGCCAGACTCGGCCCATCACAGAGAAGTATTTTTCATCAGAGTTCTGAGTGCCACTTTGACTCAGGATTGGTGGTGCGGGCCGAGGAGGACTAGAGCATGCAGGCCAGCGCCATCTTCTTTTTAAACTTTCTGCCATAAAGCGTCGTTGCTAGCTATTTGCAGTTTAATGGTAGTGCAACAGTAAAGCATGTGGACTTAGGAGCAGCAGAAAAACAGGAAAGAGTTAAAGGATATCACGAATGGTCGGAACAAAAAGTTGAAACAACAATGCTGTCGTACCGCTAAAATATAAATTAAACAACAAATTCAAGTTATTCATCAATGATGAAAGTAAAAACATTCAAATAAATATGCCGGAGTGTTTGTACCTAATAAGAGCACACCCCCTGGTGCTCTCTGTATCTGCTGACAGACAGTGGTGAACATGTTTTTTCAGATGTAGTTGAGATCTGACCGTTTTAGAGTTTTACCTCATGTGTTTGTTTGATCGGACTGTTTGAGCTAAACCAAATAAGGCTTACCCGGCATCTGAGAACAGAAATTGAGGGGATTTAAAAAAAAAAAAAAAAAAAAAAAAAACATTTTTCTTGGTCTGACTGGAAGACAAAAGCAACAACTGCAAACACAAAGTTCAGACCGGAGAAATGACGGGACGCGGTAAAGACGAGACATCAGGAAAACACTGACCCGACCCAACAACTCTTTCCCCTCCCTTCTTAACACTTAACAGTTCAGCTCTGAACCTCCTCCCTCCTTTAATCTTTTTAAGCTCCGCTCGTTTCCTTTCTGTTCAACTTCGCTTTTTCCCTCTGAACTCTTCCTCGGCTCTCACGAACGCACCTGTGATGATGTACGCTCGTCTTTAGCGCGTCCCGTCTTCCCCCAGCCGCCACATTTTGGTCACAGAACAACACAAAACATAAAACAACGGAGCAGGAAGGCTTTCTGCTTTCCCTCCTCTACATTCTTCAGCCATTTTTGTTTCTCGAGGTGCATTTTTTTTTCTTTCAATGCTAAGAAATAATATACTTTTTTTTTTAAATAAAGTAATAACAATAGAAAAAGGTTAAATATAAAACCATGGTGCAGAGCAATAAATAAAACATTTTATAGCCATAGTTGTGATTCTTGTAAACCCATAACTATTACCTCTTTATAGATTTTTTCTTTTTTCAATCTTTCTTAAGAAACTTGCAGAAAACAGGAGATCAGGTGCAACCTCACTACTCATCGGTACATATAAATTATCACATTATAAATATTTAATATTGCATCTTTCTATGAGATTTTCTCCCTTTAACTCCCTGATATTCTGCACTCGGCTTTCAACTCACAGTTGAATCCCTTCCTGCTGCAGTTTCAGGCTCCGAGACGTCCCAAAGCCACGTTAACGCGTCACAGTAAATCTTTTCGTCATTTGAACAAAGTACCGTTTCACTTTTGTTTCCCCCCTTTTTAGGACAGAAGAGATCTGACGTACGTTTAAAAAAAAAAAAAAAAAGGGAGAAAGGAAAAAGAATTGAAGAGAACATTCAAACCAGCTGTTTTTCACCAATTTTCACCTCTGTGTTAACCACCAGTCACCGTTGCATTGTGGGTAATGGAGTAAAGCTCGTTTCTTTGGGAGCTTCATCAGTCTGAGCTGCTGTGCTTTGAGGCGCGCTGTCGAAGACAAACCCATGATTTGACCTTTTTACACACAAACACACATGATGGAATATTTTTACTCCAAACCTCAGAGTTGACACATAAATAAGAGCTGTACAGGAACTTAGCAGCTGTTCTGTAGCATAGATGGTGATACAGGTGGTTGGTGTTTGGCTGGCGCTTCTGTGACGACCCGCAGCATTTATCTAGAAGTGTAGCACCGGATTTTAGTTGTAGCAGAAGAGCAGTAGTAGGAGCAGTCTTACCTGTAGTAGTTGTAGTAGTTGGAATAGCAGCAACAACAACCTGGACTGAGCAACACCTGAGTCAAATCCTGCTTGATGACGTGAGTGAGTGTAGGATTCTGGCTGGCTGATGGCCGCTGCTTAATCGAACCCAGAATCGCTCTGAAGCCACACACAAAATGTCTCTCTGAGTCTGTTTGCAAAAAGCCTGAGATACAACCTGCAATGGCAGTTTGGGTTGGAACGACTTAAAACGCTGTTTCCGCATCATACAGAAGAAACTATAAAAACACCTACGCTGAAATAAATGGTTCTGCTAACATCTAACTTCGGCAAGGATGTTTGTTCTTTTCTTTTTTTTTAGTTTGACGAGACAGACACGTGTCAAAGCACAGCAGGTCGCTGGTGAAGCTCCTGTCTTAAAGGGTCAATAAGCAGCTGATCGTGTCACAGTTTGAAGCGCCCGGGACCGCAGAGCAGAATCAGACAGAAATTACGCCCAAAGGTTTTAGTCTCTGTAGGGGTTCACGAAAAGATAAACAAATAAATAAATAAGCGAACTGGAGAGGTGAAAAGAGAAGACATGGAGAAGAAGAGCAAAAGCCTTCAAGTTTGGGTCACTCTGAGTCGGTCCAAAGCTGTGTCATCGTGTCCCACGCTGATGACCTCAGAGACCAGCTGTGATGACATCACCCGGGTGGACGGTTCATTCTCGACCGCTGGCGGAGTAGGAGAACTGCGGGAAGTGCGGTCGTCTCTCGTTGTCCAAACAGTCCATCCCATCCTCATCAACTAATAAAAGAAAAATATAGATTCAACATTAAACAGATCTGCACGTTTCCTGTTCATGAGATGAAAACAAACTAAAAACAACTCGTGTCAAAGTAGTAATTAATATTCTGTTCCGTTCCTGAGCTGTGGAAATAAACCAAACACAGTTCAATTAACAAACGTGCACCTGACGTGCCGATCTCCTGCAAATTGATGTGTGACCTACAGAACAAAAGGAACATCACCGAAGAACCAACAAACACCTCACCTTCCCTCATGCATAATTCAGTGCTGAACACGTCGAAAGCTGTAGTTTTATCTCTAAAGTCTGCGAAGAACTGCTTGTGGCCGGAGGACTAATAAAGACACTTTGTGTTTTATTCTTGTAGTTCTTTTAATGTAAATACACAAAGAAACAAACTACAGTCAGAAAGTATCTCCATCAAACTTCCTTCAGGAAATTATGGGTGTAGACATGAGGAGACAAAGGGACTCACATTTCTCCGGTGGAGTGATTGTGATGGTCTGAGCTGTGAACTCCTCGTCAAAGTACCTCGTGTCCGTCTCTGATGTGACCTGAGGCTTGAAGGGAGGGACGAGCTGGGACAAAGGTGGGGACAGATCAGACAGGCTGAGGACTCGAGAAGAAGTTCTGAAACGTCATTGTTTTGCACAACAAAGCTTCTTTGGGTCTCAGTCCACATGTTATCCCCGACTCCAGATGTTCTCACACAAACGAAAGAGTCGAGCATTTCAGTTTAGCTGCCTTTGAACTCAGACCCAGCTGTCCAAGCTGTTATGCAGCAGACAGATAATAAACATACAAAGCCTTGTGAAAGGAAAGCCTAACAAAGAAGCTCGGCATCTAAAATGCCGTAGGTGTTGCCACACAGGACATGACTCTCACTCGATAGTGTTATGAGCAAACACACACACAACGACAGATTCTTAGGATACGCCCTGAGCTCGACACAGCTGCCGACCTGCTCTGATTCGTGCCAAACTGTAAGCGTTGCACGACACCTTCTGGATAAATACAAGTCGATGCATAATCACAACACACAAATGTTACTTTGGTGCAAATTTTACCACAGGAAATTAAAAAGCTTTATGTAGATGAGTCGTTTTCTCCGTCGTATGTTTCAAAGCGCGCCGCAGCTCCCGGTGACAAACGTACAGTTTTGTCCTGACGTACCTTTTTATCGTAAACATCCTGCCAGTCGATGCCGGAGAAGAAACTGTGTCTCATTATCTCTTTAGCATCGTCTGGTCCTCCCCCAAGTCTAGATGAGTGGAGAGATGAAGAGAGAAACGCACAACTAAACTGAGATCAGGAAACACGTCAGGTTACCAGCACCTTCAACACAAATCCACTGCATCAACAAAACATAGACATTTTTCACAAATCAGGAGGGTTATCCCGTAAGTTTCAATGAAAGTCGACTGATTAATACAATTTAATCAAGCTGATATTTTTTTTTACAGATTTTTAAAAAATGTTTAATTATTGAAATATTTACACATTTCCGCTGAAAGTTTCTGCAATACACAAACCAGTGGGTGTCAGTATATCCACTGTTTTACTTTTTTGTAAAAAAAATAATAATCTCGTCAGCTCCAGACCATATCTGGTTTAATAAAAGTGGCAGTCTTTGAAGAAATGCATAAACAAACACTAGCAATAAAACACTTTTTCCCTGTGTAGATGGAGGTACCATATTTTTTGGCGTATAAGTCGCAGCTTTTTTTGGCATAGATTTGTCAGTCCTGCGACTTATATACTTTTTTCCATATTGATAATGCAATTTTTAACTGATGCTTTAAATTTCTAAGAACTGCAACAGCGAGTCTTCCCATGTGCGCTCACTTCACTCAGCTGGTGCAGGCGGAGGAACGCTGGAGAGCTAGCGGCTCCGTGGATGGATGGATGGATGGATGGATGGCACCACGCCACCCAGGCAAAATGAAGCTGTTTGGACCATTAAATAAAGGCATAATAAATGCGACGGATCAGCAGTGACTCATAATAAATGCAACTTATTTATGTCTTTTTCGTCTTCGCAATACTTTTTTTTTTGACTGATGCGACTGATACTCCGGAGCCACTTATACGCTGGAAAATACGGTATTGTTCATTTTGACACTTTGCAGTTTGTATTTATGCTGGAGAGTAAATGTGTGAATATTTTTAAACCCATAATGGTGTCGAACATGGACACACCTTTTGTTGGGGTCTTTGATGAGCAGGCCGGACAGCAGCGACTTGGCGTCCGCTGACAGAGTGCGCGGGAACTTGATGTCCTCCATGAGGATGAGCTCAAACAGTTTCTCGTGGTCCTGGTTGTAGAACGGCAGACGTCCGCACATCATCTCGTACGTCACAACGCCCAAACCCCACCAGTCCACTGCCCGGCCATAATCGTTGTCCTCCAGGACCTGAGAAAAGGTGACAGACAAAAATATTGAGTTAAAGGGGTCACTTGTGTTTTTTATTTTGCATTTCTCTTGTTGAACGTTAATGTCTGCCCAGAATATTCAGTATAAAGATGGATATTTATGGGCTCCAGAAAACTGCTGAACACAACTAACACTGGTTAACGTGTTAACAGCACAGAGGTAAACATCATGGCCAGTCATCTCTGGTTTCTGATACAGTAAGGGAGTCGGTGTGCTGGCGTGGCCCACCAGATGCCCCCCTGTGGAAGCTGCCAGTTCTCCCTGGCACGCTGATCCCTCCTGGCAGGGACAGACAAGAATATTCCTGGATGGAAAAGGCAGGAGCAGCTCGCAACCTGAGTCAGGGCCAGTCCAACCTCCAAGCTGGGCAGCGCAGGTATTGAAGCACACACACACACACACTGCCCTGTGTGTGTGTGTTGAGGAAAGGTAAGTCATTTCTATATCAAAGCCTTGTATCTGGGCAGTTTTCCTATCCCTCTTTCCTGCCTTCTCTCCATGCACTAACCCCTCCGTCCTGTTTTATCTCGCCTTCTTCATCCTCCATCATACACTTTCTAAGTTGCTACTTCTCTCTCATCTTCACCAGTGCCAGTTTGCTGGGAAAAGAGGAAGAAGAGTAGGAAGAGTAGAAGCCAGGGATGTAGTTCAGGTGCTGTTGACTCCCTCATTACCATAATAGGCTTATTAACATGAGTCTACGTGTACGTACGTGCGTGCGTGTGTGTGTGTGTGTGTCTGACTGACAGACAGACGGAGCTGGAGAGCAGCCAGAACATATGTTGTAAATCACGCCAATAATAATAACATCTCACTCACTGTTAAATGGGCCAGTCAGACACACGGACGCTAACACTCACAAGCGTTCTCACACAAGAAATAAATAATAAAAAAACCTGTTTAGAAGACGACAAACCTCAATTACCTGAGACAATTACATGGTGTATGTCCTAATAGGATGAGATTTAACAGACAGTATACCGAGCGCTGATCTGCTGCCAGGACGGAGTGAGAACAGGTGTCAGAAACACATAAATACAGCTGAGACTGGGTTGGACAGACATTCATTTATCCAAACTGGACAAGTTTGTGTTTGCGCAAAACAAACAAACAACAAAATCTCACTGCATATCCACCTTATTCCTAGCCCCCATGCTGCCTTGCGGGAATTATGGGCGTGAACTTTCGGCGTGGACCAGAACCAGCATTTGTTTGTGTGCGAACAGTACGAGCTAATGTAGTCTCTCCGAGCATTGTGGATTTAATTTAAACATGTGGGAACACCACCTGTCAGAACTCACACAGGACAATGTAATCATACCACTGCCTGCTGAGGACGAGGGATGGAGGACGAGCTGAAGAAGCAGCCGCAGATACTAACATATTTCACTACTTCATTGACTTGGTTGCTTCCAACGGTGAAGTGATGAACAACCTGAAAAGCTCTGAGGTGTATTATATCTACACAGTAATAATTCAGTTGCATTTTGTTAAAAGAGGTTGGACACTATCTTATTTACCTTAAGGCAGACAAAGAGCCCGGCCAAAGCCTTAAAGTCCTCCATCACCAAGCTTGGGTTAATTGCAGAGAAAATTGTAATACTGAAGAGGAACAAATACTATAATTCTGTGTCTTCCATACACTTGAAATCCTATCTGATGTTCTCTTCACTGTTTTCAATCCTAATGAGGATCCGGCGTCTCTTCTCCGGTGGTTTATTGTAGCCCGGACACAAAGTAGGATGCAGGTTTTCCTCCTCTGGCCGTTCATCAACAAAGTGAAATGAACACACATAAAGTGTTTTGGGTGGTCTCTTCAAGTTCACATTTTTCAGCCACATTCTTCTTAATTCCTCATCTGTAGGTAGGAGATGGAAACTATACCTCTTTTCACAGGAACTCTTTTCGTTTTGGTTCCATGTTCAAAACACTGTTGTTGTATCCACTGATTTAGTTTGGTCTGGTTGTCCGTGTAACCACGAATACAGCAGGTACCTGAACTCCGCAAGACTATTTTAGTAAACTTTATGGTTGTGAAATAAATGTAAGCAAAACAAAAATTGTGTTTTATCTGCTAAACTGAAGGCAAATTTCTTTTGAATAAACCGTGGTTCATACTCCACTACCATAGTTAGCCAATGCTTACCGCTACTTCTGTTGTCTGACAGGAAGTTGTACCATAATCATTTATACAGTAGAGCACCCAGGGATAAGGTGGATAGAATACACATGCTGCGATCCTGCACTGATGAGTGAAAGGAACAGTTCGGATCTTTTAAATGGACAATTATCGGTATTACCGTAACTTGTCCAAAGCTTATAAAATCTCTATCTGCAACACCAGTTTTGCATGACATGGTTTACTATGTAGAATCTATGGTTATTATAACAGCAGCAGCGGCTAACTGTAGCACATCCAGGGCAAAATGAGACACATCCATCAAGAAAAATCACAAAACTTCTACCTAAATAAGTCTAGAATATGAAACTGACAGTAAATGTAAAGATTTATAAAACAGTGGACTACTGTGAAATCTTGGAGACAGGAGCTGTTTTAAGATCTCAGCAATCCACTTTGGTCTTGGGCCAGCTCAGGCTAGCCGTTAGCTCATCAGTCTGACCAGCGTTACACTCCGTTTCTTCAAACTGACGTTGATCAAAGAGCCATCTACCACAGGTAGGATATTTATTGTTCATAGCCTTTCCAATACCTTTCAAAGGTTTAGTCATGTCAAAAGGTGAAGGAGGTCACTGACAACAAAAACTAAAGGTATTGCCAAATCTGGCTTTTTTAAGCTAAATAACAAAAATATGCTACACAGAGGCAGTTTATAGAAGTATTACCTTCTTAAAATACAGTATGTTTATAATATTTGAGAGTTTTTTTTATTTAAACATTCAGTTTAACTTTTATTCTTATTTGCCTCTGTTATACATGGCATTAACAGGAACTCGTAGGTTGGAGCACATTTCACCAGTTTCGTCCTCCCTTCACTGGCTCCCTGTGCATCTCAGAATTGATTTTCAAATTCACCTGTTGACCTTTAGGTGCATTAATGGCCTTGCACCCTCATACCTCTCTGACCTACTTCAACTGTATGTTTCTTCTTGGGCGCTGAGCTCATCAGACCAGCTGCTTCGATCGGGCTTTTTCATTCATTGGCCCAAAACTTTGGAACAAGCAGCTGTGACCTGACTGAACTTTGTTTGATTTTTTTTACCTGGATTATTGAGCATGAACTTTGATGTTTTGAACCACTTGGGCTATGGCTGCCTCAGAGGAGTTGACAGGGGAAAGGGTGGGCCATAGAAACCATTTTATCACCAGCGAACTGGTTGGTCCACAATGGGACCACAGTGCTGCTTGTGGGACTGAGTTTGTTGTGGCTCCTCGGACTGATGAAGTCTTTTGGATGCAAGATGAAACGTCTCAACAACAACAATAAAAGAAACCGTCCAGATGACCCGACTGAACTTTGTTGGATTTTTACCTGGATTATTGAGCATGAACTTTGATACAGTGTGATTTGATTTACTATTTCATTGTTTCTCATTGTTTTTGTGTTTTTATTACTTTTGATGCTTTTAATTGCATCTTGTTATTATTATTTTTCTTTAATTGCCTTGATCTTATTGTTAAGCACTTTGATAACAGCTGCTGTTTTAAATATGCTTTATAAATAAATTTGACTTGACATGTTTTGAAATTATTCGAAAAGGCCAAAGGGGTCGGGTGCAATGTGGGATGGGTGCTGGCCGAGGGCGGGGACCCTGGAGGTCTGATCCTCGGCTACAGAAGCTGGCTATTGGGACGTGGAATGTCACCTCACTGGTGGGGAAGGAGCCTGAGCTGGTGTGTGAGGTTGAGAGGTTCCGGCTAGAAATAGTCGGACTCACCCCTACGCATGGCTCTGGCTCTGGAACCAGTTTCCTTGAGAGGGGTTGGACACTCTTCCACTCTGGAGTTGCCCCTGGTGAGAGGCGCCGAGAAGGAGTGGGCATACTTATTGCCCCCCATCTTGGTGCCTGTGCGTTGGGGTTCACCTCGGTGAATGAGAGGGTGGCCTCCCTCCGCCTACGTGTGGGGGGACGGGTTTTGACTGTTGTTTGTGCTTATGCACCAAACGACAGTTCAGATTATCCACCCTTTTTGGAGTACTGGAAAGTGCACCTCCTGGGGACTCCCTTGTTCTGCTGGGTGGACTTCAATGCTCACGTGGGCAATGACAATGAGACCTGGAGGGGTGTGGTTGGGAGGAACAGCCCCCCTGATCTGAACCCGAGTGGTGTTCTGTTGTTGGACTTCTGTGCTCATCATGGATTGTCTATAACAAACACCATGTTCAAGCATAAGGGTGTCCATATGTGCTCTTGGCACCAGGACACCCTAGGCTGTGGTTCAATGATTGACTTTGTCGTCGTCTCATCTGATCTGCGGCCACATGTCTTAGATACTCGGGTGAAGAGAGGGGCGGAGCTGTCCACTGATCACTACCTGGTGGTGAGTTGGCTCCGATGGTGGGGGAGGATGCCGGTCAGACCTGGCAGGCCCAAGCGTATTGTGAGGGTTTGCTGGGAATGTCTGGCAGAGTCTCCTTTGAGACGCAGCTTTAACTCCCACCTCCGGGAGAACTTCGAACATGTTCCAGGAGAGGTGGGGGACATTGAGTCCGAGTGGGCCATGTTCCGTGCCTCTGTTGTCGAGACGGCTTACCGGAGCTGCGGCCGCAAGGTTGTCGGTGCCTGTCGCGGCAGCAACCCTCGAACCCGGTGGTGGACACTGGCGGTGAGGGATGCCGTCAGGCTAAAGAAGGAGACCTATCGGGCCTTTTTGGCCTGTGGGACCCTGGAAGCAGCTGATGGGTACCGGCAGTCCAAGCGACATGCGGCTCGGGTGGTCGCTGAGGCAAAAACTCGGGCATGGGAGGAGTTCGAAGAGGCCATGGAGAATGACTTCCGCATGGCTTTAAGCCGGTGGT